GTGGAGTGCACTTGGTTGCGATTTCGGCTCACTGCCAAGCTCCGCCTGCCCGGTTGTTCACGCCAATTCTCCTTGCCCTTAGCTTTCCGAGTAGCTGGACTACAGGCGCCTGCCACCACGCCCGGCTATTTTTTTTTGGTATTTTTGAGTAGAGACGGGGTCTTCACCGGTGTTAGCCAGGATGGTCTCGATACTCCTTGACCTCGTGATCCGCCCGCCTTGGATCCCACAGTGCTGGGATTACAGGCTAGGAGCCACTGCGCCCGGCCTAACTTATTTTTATTTACATATCACTGAGACACTTACTCCATGCGGCAAATACTATCTAAAGCTTCTTTTTTTTTTTTTTTTTTGAGGACGGAGTCTCGGCTCTGGTCGCCACCCTGGCTGGAGCGCAAGTCGGCCGGATCTCAGGCTCAACTGCAAAACTCCGCCTCCCAGGTTCACCCATTTCCCTGCCTCAGCGCTCCCGAGTAGCTGGGACTACAGGCGCCCACCACCTTGTCCGGGCTAGTTCTTTGTATTTTGTTAGTAGAGACGGGGTTTCACTGGGTTTAGCCAGGAACGGTCCTCGGATCTCCTGACCGTCGTGAATCCGCCCATCTCGGCCTCCCAAAGTGCTGGGATTTACAGGCTTTGAGGCCAACCGCACCCGGCTGCTAAGCTTCTTATACTTTCCAAGGATGGTCTCGATCTCCTGACCTCGTGATCCGCCCGTCTCGGCCTCCCAAAGTGCTGGGATTACAGGCTTGAGCCACCGCACCCAGCCGAAAAATTTTGATGGGTATAGTCAAACAAAGATGTTACCTTCTACAGAAAAAAGGAACTCATATGGCCAGGTGCAGTGGCTCACGCCTGTAATTCCAGCACTTTGGGAGGCCAAAATGGGTGGATGACTTGAGGTCAGGAGTTAAAGACCAGTTTGGCCAACATGTTGAAACCCCATCTCTACTAAAAATGCGAAAATTAGGGCTGGGTGCAGTGGCTCACGCCTGTAATCTCAGCACTTTGGGAGGCAAAGGAGGGCAGATCACGAGGTCAGAGGTTCAAGACAGGAGCTGGCCAATATGGTGAAAACCCCGTTCTCTACTAAAATACGCAAAATTAGCCAGCGTTGGGTGGGCCAGATGCCTTGTTAATCCTATCTACTTGGGAGGCTTAAGGCGCAGGAGAATCTGCTTGAACCCTGGGAGGCCGGAGGTTGCAGTGGAGCGCAAGATCATGCCCACTTGCCTCACTCCAGCTCTGGGCAACAGAGCAATTTATCCATTTGGAAAAAAAAAACCCAAAAAATACAAAAAATTAGCCAGGTATGGTGGGAGCCTGTAATCCCCGCTACTCAGGCAGCTGAAGCCGTAGAATGCGCTTTGGAACGCCCGGAGGCAGAGGTTGCAATTGAGCCAGATGGCGGCCACTGCACTCCAGGCCTGGTGTACAGATGAGAACCTCTGTTCTTCAAAATAAAAAAAAAAAAAAAAAAAAAAGGCACTAATTCCTGACCTCTAGGCCAACTGCTGACACACAGGAACTGGAGGCAAAATTTGATTCTTGTGATTGCTTGCAAGAAAACCAAACATTCAGGATTTTTTATAAAAATTTTGCTTTTCGGAGTTCCGGGCGCTAGTGGCTCATGGCCTATGATCCCAGAACTTTTGGTGGCTGGCCGAAGTGCGTGTGGATCGGCAAGAGGTTCAGGATGGTTTAAGACCAGCGCTGGCCAACATGGTGCAAACTCCAGTCTTCTTACTAAAAATTAAGGAAAAAATTAGGCCAGGTGTTTGGGTGGGCGGGTGGCCTGTAATCCCAGCTACTTGGGGAGGCTTCTGATGGCAGGAGAGGAAGAATTGCTTGAACCCAGGAGGGCAGAGGTGCAGGAGCCGAGATATGCCACGCACTCCAGCCTGGGTGACAGAGTGAGACTCTGTCTCAAAAAAAAAAAAAATTGTTTTTCAAAGCAAACCAAAAAGACTTTTTTTGAGCCAAACAAAACTTACTTGGAGCCAGACACGGTGGCTCAAGCCTGTAATCCCAGCACTTTAGGACGCTGAGGTGGGCAGATCACTTGAGGCCAGGAGTTCGAGACCAGCCTGGCCAACATGGTGAAACCCCAACTCTACTAAAAATACAAAAAAAATAAAATAAAATAACCAGGCGTGGTGGCAGGTGCCTATAATCCCAGCTACTTTGGGAGGCTGAGGTGGGAGAATCGCTTGAACCCAGGAGGCGGAGGTTGCAGTGAGCCAAGATTGCACCAGTGCACTCCAGTCTGGGCAACAGAATAAGACTCCATCTCAAAAAAGAAACCACAAAAAACAAAACCCTTATCTGGCTTGGAGCAGCTTTGAGTTGTCTCCCATAACACAAATGGACTCCTTAGCCTATTTTTCCTCACCTGGGAGGGCTCTTCCCTGACTGCTTCCTCATCAACACTTCTTCTTTTTCTACTTCTGTCTCCCACATACAGCCTTTCCATCCCCCAAAATCCATTCAAGTTATGCAGCTTGTTCTTCCAAACATACCACTGCAGTGGTTCCCCAAGGAGATACTTCCCATTCCCTGGACTGCTTGAGATCCCTTGGCATTTGTTTGTGAGCATGTGTGGGGCTTGTATAAAGGTTACTGACTCATGAATTCATTACTGCCTGCTGCTTGACAGCCTGTGGCTGAAAAACAAAACCAAGCTGACTGGCCCCAATCTCAAACCTGTCTTAGGCAGATACAATATTGCTGTGATTCCTAGAGAAAAAGCTGAGGGAAGATTTGGGGAAGATGGGAGATAATAGTCTTCAAATGGCTGAAAGACAACCCTAATAATAATTAAGAACTGCTAGACATTATGCTAACTACTTTATATTAATGTCTCATTTAATTCTCATAACAATTCTATAGTTGTTAAAGTCACATGATTACTAAATGATAGAACAGGACTTTCAGACCAGATGCAGTGGCTCAGGCCTATAATCCCAGCACTTTGAGAGGCTGAGATAGGTGGATCACCTGAGGTCAAGAGTTTGAGACCAGCCTGGCCAGTATGGTAAAATCCCATCTCTATTAAAAATATAAAAAT